GAGAGAGAGATACAGAGAGAGAGAGAGAGATAGACAAGAGAGAAGAGAGATGAGAGAAGAGAAGAGGGAAGAGAGAAGAGAGAGGAGAGATGAGAAAGAGAGAGAGAGAGAGAGAGAGAGAGAGAGAGAGAGAGAGAAACAGAGAGTGGGAAAAACAAAAAAAAGAAGAGAGAAGAGCAGAGAGAAGAGAGGAGAGAGAAGAGAAGAGAGAAGAGAGGAGAGAGAGAGAGAGACGAGAGAGAGATACATATATATAGAGAGAGAGAGAGAGAGAAGAGAGAGACTGAGAGAGAGATAGAGAGAGAGAGAGAGAGAGAAAGAGACAGAGAGAGAGGAGAGAGAAGAGAGAGAATAGAGAGAGAGAGACGAGAGGCCGAAGAGAGAGAGAGAGAAGAGAGAGAGAGATTGCGCGAAAGCCGAGAGAGAGAGAGAGAGAGAGAGAGAGAGAGAGACAAATAATGAGAGGGAGAGAAAAGGAGAGGGAGAGAGAAAGAGAAACGGAGGTGAAGGAGGAAGAGGAGGGGGCCTTGTCATTTCCGCGAAGTTTCTGAGAGTCACGACATAATAGTTTTCCTGTTGGACTTCATGGGTTTTTCAATGGCAATCGCTGGTTTCCTGATTGCTGGGCCAGGAATGCAGCGACATTCCCAGGAAGCGAATCGCAGCCAACCACAGCGACCCAAATCATGTGATACTACCAATAAGCAAAGAATCGCGTGTTCGTGGGATCCAAAGCGGGTAGGAGCGGGGAGGGTGGAAGCGGGGGGCTGGTTTTTCCATGGCAGTCATTCATGTTGGACCGCCAAACTTGCGACGCTACCAACAGACAAACCAACGCAGCAAAGCTTGCGAGGCCACCCAGCAAAAATCCAAGGCTTTCGGGATCCGAGGCGGGGGGTGGGGGGGGGGGCCGGCTGGACTCCTGCCGGGCGCTCTCGCTTCGGATCCCGAGAACCTTTTGATCTTCGTTTCTGTTGTCGTCTCGCGGCGGACCTGGGCGCGCCGCTCGGCCCGGCCCGCGTCGCCGCTGTGCCGCGGCTGTCTGGGGGCCCGGGGGCAGCAGTCGGAGGTCTTGTTCGGGTTGACCTCTCTAAGCCGAGGGCCTCGGCAGCGGCGGCGAGTCGGGCGCGCTCCTCGGCGCGGCAGAGCCGCGGGGGTCGTCGCCCCGGGCGTCGCGGCGGCTCGGCGGCCGCCCCGGCGCCTCGCCCTCGCCGTGCTCGGCCCGCGCCGCGCAGAAGTGCGGTCAGGAGGTCCAGCGCGGGCCGGGTTAGGGCGGCGCCCGTGGGCGCCCCGCGGCGCGCCCTCAGGGTGGTGCCCTCCTCTTCGTCGGGCAGCTTCCGACCGCCCGGCCCGTGGCGGCGCCGTGCTTGTTCGAAAAAAGGCATGCCTCTGCGAGCAGGGTGCGCCTGGCTCAGCGGCTTCGAGGGCGTCTCGAGAGGCAGTTCGCCGGCCAGGATCCATGCCAGGCGGTCCGCGCAGGCGGCCTCGTGGGCCGTCTGCACCTCCGTTTCGCCAGCGAAGCCGAAGTGGGCCGCCCGCCGCTCCCAGAACAGCTTCCGCGGGCTGGAGGAGAAGGCGCCCGTGGCGCAAGTGAAGTCCGCCGTGGCCAGCTTCAGTCGGCTGCGCGCCTAAGGTCTCAGAGCAGCCGCGCCTGCTGCGAGGTGGGCCGCGACGGCGCCGTGTCCGTCCGTGCCGGGCTGGCGCGGTGCGGAGCCCTTGGCCGCCCGCGCGACGCGGCGGGCGCGGGCCGCGAGGGCGGCAGCCACCGTGGTGGCGCCTGACCCAGCCTCCAGCCCGCGCCGCTTCCCCGGCTTGTTGGGCGCGCTCGTGTGCCGGGTGACCAGCTTCGCCGGCCCTTCGGGCGCGCCCCGCAGCCGGGCGGGCATGGCGGCGGCGGGGCGCCGCCGGCCGCGCGCCGCCCGCTCGGGCCTGTCCGGCCCGCCGCCAGGCCAGTCGCCGCATCGGCAGAGACGGCGCAGGCGTTCGCGGCGCCCGATGCCCAGCGGGTTCACGGCGGCGCCCCGGCGGCTCGCGGCCAGCCGAGCCAGCGGCGGACACGCCGCTGCAGGCGGGCCGCGGCGGCGCGCCGTGCCCGGCGCAGGGGCCGCAGCGCCAGCTTCGATGCGCAGGACAGCTCACTTTCCTACCCCCCCCACGGGCCCGTCGGCGCGCCAGCTCGCGCCGCCGGCGCGGCTCGAGCCGGGCGGCGATGGCCGTGCCTGCGAATGCGCGGGGGCGCTCTCTTCCTCGATCCCTTTCACCTGTCTCCACTCCGCGTCTTGCCGCGACGCGCCTTGCCGCTTGCTCGGGCGCGCGGCGCGCGACGGCCCCCTGGGCGCGCGCGCGGCGCAGCGCCGCCGGGGCGCGCGGGCGCGGCGGTCGCTCGAGGCGGCCGAAGCGGCGCGGGGTGACCTCTCCGACCCCCTCGCCGTCGGCGCCGCCTTCGTCGTCTGCGCAGAGCGCGGCGGGCGACGATTCGAGCCGCCAGGCTTTTTTAAAGGGTAGGGGTGGGGGCAGAGAAGCAATCGAC